AGCTGAAACTGCACTAGTAAATGAGACATGATCTAACCCCATCACTTCTCCCACCATCTCAATAAAGACAAAAATCGCCTCAAGCCCATGATTTCCCTCTTGAGAGTAACCTGATAGTATTGCATTCCATGAAACCAGATCCTCATTCGCCATTTCATCAAACACATTCCTAGCTTCTACTAACCGCCTCTACCTCGAATACATACTTATAAAAAAACTTCACCATCTAAACCAGACTTAAATATAAGAGAATGCAGTTGTAATCCAAATAGAAAATATTCATGATCCGCACAAAAAGCAAGAATCGTAGTATAAGTCACTGGATCAAAAACAACTCCATTAAAATTCATCCAAAGAGCAAAATTCAATGCACCCTCACTTGTTCGAAACCCTGAAAGAATAGTATTCTATGAAACTATATCAGTATAGCAGAGTCTCAAAGATAAGTGAGGGACCATCAAACCGGCCAGCTTTGGTGTACACACTCATCAAAGAATTTGAAACCGTAGTATACGAAGAAAACCTAGAAGAAACTGCAAACCTGTGAATTTGGCATCCGGGTTTGGGGTCCCCTTGACAGGCCTTGATAGCAAGGGTAACGGTATTTTCATCAATGTTATTAGAATATTAGAATATATTCGAAGCGTATAGCCGCACGGCTATACCGTTAAAATAATATATTTAAATAGTATAGCCGCCCGGCTATACGATTTAAATATACAATTTTGTCATGTTATTTTAAAATACAACCCGCCTAGACCCACCAGAGCAGCCTCGACCCGCCCAGGCCGCCTAGGCGCCGCCTAGACCCACCCAGGCCGCCTAGGAGCCGCCTAGATCCGCCCAGGCCGCCTAGGAGCTGCCTTGATCCGCCCAGGCAGCCTAGGAGCTGCCTTGATCAGCCCAGGCCGCCTAACTCCCTTATAGCATCAGAGTTGTTATCTTAGTGGAGATTTCATTAGCCGAATGACATTTGATGGCTTTCGTAGAGAGAGTCCAATCCAATCCAATCAACGGAGCAGCCGAAATGAAAGAAAAAAATCGAAGCTTGAGTTGAGAGGGAGAGAGAGAGGCTCAAGACCGAGTCTTTGAAGCTTGGAATCGCTTATGGAGAAGCAAAATGGCTGTGGGTGTCGGCTACACCTTAAAATATTCGAATACATTCACAGTGTATAGCCGAACGGCTATACCGTTAAAATGCTACATTTAAATAGTATAGCCGCGCTGCTATACCTGACATTCACAGAGTATAGCCGCACGACTATACCGAAAAAATAATACATTTAAAGGGTATCGCCGCACGGCTATACCGGCAAAATAATATATTTAAATAGTATAGCCGCACGGCTATAGTGAACTTGCATTTTGCTCTATTATTGCTTTGTCTTCTGGTTGTTTCCATGACTCACCAGATCTTGATGGTTAATTTTCACTCATTTATATGACCCTTTTGTATATGCAACCTTTGTTTTTCCTTTTTATTATAAACGTTAAACAAGAAGATTATAGGTGGTGACGGGCAAAGGGAACCCATACATGACCCTTTGTTATCGTTCACATCAAAACTTCATTTGTACGTTGACTCAAGATGAATTTCCTTTTTTTTTTTTTTTTTTTTGGGGAAATTTGGCTACAGAACTTCTTAACAAAGGGTCGTGTCCTTTTTTGTTTCCAAATGAAGACAACGGAAGACCCGGCCATGACTTGATCTCTGCCTTGTATTCTCTGCGATACTTCAGAATCATAGATGAGCTGTCTATCAGTCGCTCTAGATTCTTCCTTCTTAAAACTAGTTTGACCTGTGAATAAGGATATTAATCTTCCCTTTCAATTAGGGGGTGTGTATTTACTCTCGCCAACATTTGGTCTGACCTGGGTTTGTGTAAAATTACATGCAAAATAAAGAGAGGAAGAAAAGAAGAAGAAAAATGTACCAATTACTTTGCAGCTAATAAGAAGTTTCCTCGTCTCTACAACTGCAATGGAGTCACCAACGTGTCAGCAGAAGAAACGAGTAATGGAGTCACCAACGTAACGTGCTTATTTTAAACTCGAATATGTTCTCTCTATTTTCTTATTGCACGTAATATTTTCCAAGTTGAGAAATACAGCATGCTGAATTTGAAGTCCTTGAATCCCATCTCATTGGTGTGCAGATCAGTTGAGAAATCCCTTGATTTCTACCAGAGTGTTCTTGGGTTCTTTCCAATTAGGAGGCCTGGCTCCTTCGACTTTAATGGTGCATGGTATAATTCTTAAAAACTTGGAAAACCAACAACAACCACCCTTCATTTTTATTGAATTGGTTTACTCTGTTTTTGAAACATTATAAATATAGAGTATTAATTTGGTTTTTGGTTAATTCTGTGACATTTGAATCATAGGCTATTCAATTGTGGCATTGGCATACATCGTCTCCAATCTGAAGACCCTGATAAAATGCCCAAGAAGATCGCCCAGATTAACCCCAAGGATAACCACATTTCTTTCCAGTTCTCTCTCTAGCTCTTTTATTCATTTTTTGTATGCTTATATATATATATATATATATATCTTTTACGTGTACGTGTGTAAAGTATATTTGTGATGTGAAAATGACTAGAAATACATTTGAATTGTTTTTAGTGTGAGAGCATGGTCACAGTGGAGAAAAATTTGAAGGAGATGGAGATAGAGTACGTGAAGCGCAGGGTGGAGGAGGGTGGAATCTACGTTGATCAGCTTTTCTTCCATGACCCTGATGCCACTATGATTGAGATCTGTAATTGTGACAACCTTCCTGTAATACCCCTCGCGGGAGAGCCAGTCAGGCCCTGCACATGTGTCAATTGCAATGCCTAGAAACAACAACAGCAGCAGCAGCAGATGGCATGCCTCCCTTCCATACACATCAAGGAAGATTACCTTCCTTGTTCATAAATTGTAAGGTGCGGATCAGTACATGTGAAAATTTGATTAACCAACTTGAAAACTTATCTAGTTTTTAATTTTTAGTTGATAGCCTGAAATCTTGTGTGTTTTAACTTTTCTAGCTGTCTTGAAAATGATCTTACCTATAAGAGCAAGGGAAACCAAAAACATGAGGCATAAACAGATAATATATAAGCTGGCAGTAAAATGAAACTTACCCACCACATCACAGGATGATGAGGACATCTGCTTAAATGAAAACAGAAGAACTGGGAGCTCCCTTCTGTCCAAACCATAGAGAGCAAGTGCATCTCATCATCTCATAGCCATGCTGTTCGGTTTTGGGCTGCAAGGAGCACCCATTTCTGCAATTTCCCCATGAAGTCAAGGAGGAGAAGAAAGACAAAAATTGATGGCAATGGCGCATGTTCCAGCTATATATTTTGAACTTAAAGGGGCAGATGAGCTCAAACTATTGCAGTAGAATAGAATGGCTCATGACTTGGTTCAAGCTCTTCAACCACTCTTTCTAAAACATAAATGCTTGCATGACAGCAACAAAATGAAATACAATACAAGCATTGATTTGATGCATAGAAAATTATAGGAAGAAAAAAAACACATAAATTGTGTAATTAGTAGAATATAATTTTAATTTTTACCATGGATGAATGCCTAGCATGCATTGATTAGAAGAAAGAACTGGGCACCATGATGACTTGATGAGTGACATCTAACTGACAAGAGAATCTTCAATAACATACAAAGGTAAAGGTGACAACAAGTTTTCAATTGTTTCTCAAAAACAGTAAAGTAATTCCCAAGTGTGGATGCTAACTAACTACACCTCAGGTTTCTTTTTCTTCTTCCTCGTTAAGGAAATGAAATAATTCCCCACATTAGTCATATGAAACATGTTCTTTGCATCCAACATTAATTTCTTACTTTCTCTTAACTGTTTCATTGACTTTATTCATCACCTACTCTGACTCTCACTTCAATTTGTATCCTATTGAATACGCATTATTCAATCCGTTTTCTTTTACGTCGTGTTTGGTAATTGGGATTGAATTGGATTATTTATTTCTCTAAAACCTCACAATCATGCAGTTTTTTTCTGTCTCTTTCTCTGCTAGCCTAACCAATTTCTATCTACTTAAATTCCCTTCTGCTTGAAATGTTGATGTAGCAATTATTTTTGAGTTGCTTTGAGTGGTAATATGGATGGCTTGGATTATATAAGAAGCCCACATTCACCAAAATTTCAAATCTCAGATCCTCAAGGCCTCACTCACACACATCACACACTGTTTATGAATGTATGAGAATGAGACTTAGGGCTCCCCTTGCT